AATGGCTAGGGCATTTTATGGAAAACAGGTTTTTTTTTTTGGCTGTCTTAGTAGCCCAAGACTTCCTATAGGTACCAGTAGCTTGGAGACAGGATTTTGAAGACCCTTGCCTTTATAGGTAGCCAGTATAGCCTTTAGTGCCCTCCAGGGAGAAAAGGCACGTTGGGGGCATACGTGTGATTTTGGGGGGGGGAGGGGGGTTGTCTTTCAAGTGAAGCTAAATCTGTATTTTAATGACTCACTTCTGACAAGCGCAAAGGTAAACACTCTCCCACCCTCTGTCCGGGTGGCACTGATGGTTCCCCTCCAAGCTGCAAAGCCCTTTTTTAGCAGGATGTAGACATGGGGAGTGGGGCTGCTTATGATTTACTAAAGGGGAAAGTGCTTTGCATTGAGTGCAACTGACATTTCTCTGCAAACTTAACCGTGTCTGGAGCCATGACATTTCTCCTCTGCTCCTGCAAGGGGATTTCATCGGACAGCGCTCGCCTTTTAAGGCTATTACATGTTTTTGGATTTTTTATTTTGGCATGGAATCACCACCTCGCCACCAGAGGGGTGGGGGAAGGAGGGAAGGGAAGCAGCATTTCGGAGCTGGAATCCTTTACTGTTAGGCATTATATAGTGCCCTGCAGTGCTGTGCAGAGCTGGAAACCTTTAGGGGATATTCCCAGAGGGAGTGTGGGGAAGGAGAGATCTCTCCGAGGGAACTTTCCTTTAAATCAAGGCTTAGCAAGTGCTGTTTTTTTGTGGAGCCTTGTAGTATTGGGCATATATTTCCGACTTGGATATACGCATCCATGGTTAGTTCCCCTAAGTGAATCCATGTTTGTGAAATGGTGCTGAGCTTGTGTGTGTCCCACTGCAAGGGACAGCACCTTCACAGATGCTGGGTTTAGTAAGAGTCTGCCATAAAAAGTGGTACCAGTTTTGACCCCCTTTTATCTCATCTTGCATTGATTGTCAGGTCTCTGTCCATTTTCAGGCATCTTCCAGTACTCGACCTTCTGCAGTTACTATTACAGTCCTTGCTCCATCACTGATGCTCTTTCATCTGGATTAGGGAGGGTTCCCTGTTTCAAGGCAGCAGAGGTTTTCAGTAATCTTTTGAGGCTTTTGGTCTACATTTCAGTTGTTGCACAGTTCTGAAAATGTGCTTCTGCAGAGTGTATCTGTGTTATTGTATGTGCAGTGTGCGCCTGTAGAGTATACACAGTTCTACTGGTCTGCATACCTGGTATATTTATGTATGAGTGTATGGAGAAGAGGGGTTATTGTGCTGAGATGTATGCATAATATGCCCTGATACAGCATAGTAGTGCTGTAATATATAATGTTATTTGCACATTCTCTATGTTTGTTTTGTGCATGTGTATGCAGTTATGTGTGAGCATATCTATGTCTCCCTGTACAAGTGTGCACAGCTAGTGTTTGTGTATAGCCAGGAAATCTGAGACAGGAGATGGTGGGTGTAGGCTTTTGCAAAAGCTTGGAAGGACGAGATTCTTGGAGTATATAGTTAAATAGGAAAGTTGTAAACCTATCAAAGGGGTACCTTTAATGAGCCAGAAGAGAAGCCTGACCTGTTCAGTCTGTCCCATTCATTGATAGGTGTGCAGGAGGAGATGGCAAACCCGTGAATTACTAGTCTTGGTTGACCTTGAATTACAACAGTCTTAAGTGTATGCGGTTTCTAGGATATGCTTTTTGCGTGTGCATTACCCACTTACACTCTGCTATTGGGGAGCACACTATAACCATAGAGGTTGACTGCTGAGGCTGCATCTCTTCCTGTCAGGAGTCCCTGAAGGACTGTTACCAAATGTAGGAACACAGTGCAATGAGTTCATCCAGACGGTACTGCTGGCTTTTAAGAGGCTTCCCTTTGGGACTAAGCCTGGTCCTTCCTTTTAGTTTAGTGCAGGCTTTGGGGTATTACATAGAATAATAATCCATAGAATAATTTCCTTACTGTGTGGTCTTATTCTGAGTATTGCAGTGACTTTTCCAAGCCCATGAACACAGTCTCTGTTTATTCCATTGCGACTTTGTGCCTTGTTTATAAGAAGTGAATGGTCTGCATATCTTAAGCTTGTAACAGTTGGTAAGTATGACTACAACAGTACTACAAACAATTGCCCATATGAACCAGTCTGCCTTGTCTGCAATTTGTTGTATTTTAGGGAACAAGTTCCTCTCTGGCCCCTGAAAGGGTGAGAATGAGCTTTGATGTATAAATGGCTAATTAAAAAAAAAAAGGAGTCAAGAGGCTAGAAATAGTGATGGGTAGAAACTGGAGATGCTGACACGCTTTTTAAAAAAGTAGGAAGCCAACACTGCTAATGAGGGTTTGAGCTCTGATTCATTAACAGAAAGTACCTTGATCTGATCCCCCTTAATCCTAAATCAGTGAAAAGGAGTGTAAACCAGGCCCAGTATGTCATGCGCTAATTGCGGATGAAAGGGAAAGTCTTGGGTGGAGGGGGAAAGATTATATGTTAAAGGGCTTTTCCCCTGTGCCGTGTGGGATGAGATTGCTAGCTTGTGTGGAACACAAAGCCCTCCCTTTCTTGGACAGCCTAGTGCCTTGCTGGCGTTTTCCTCCGAATCTGTTTCCCATCAGGGCTGCGAGAGGGGGAAGGTGTTGAGCATCTGGGAAAAGGGAAAATGGAGCGGCTGTCTCTTTAAGGAGTTCAGTGAGCCCATGTGGCAGCAGGCAGTTCTGGAGTGTATTCCTTTGTAATGAATCATCCCTTCCATTGTCTGCTTCCCCCTCCCCAGCATGTGGGGATGGAGCCTTTCACCTGGGCTGCTGCCTGCTCCTGGAGCTTGTTCTGAGGTTTGGGGGGATGAGGGGGGTGTTTGCTGTAATTAAAGCCAGCCAGGAGAAAGCTGCCGGATCCCATTTTCCCATTTTCTCTTTCTTGGCATTCTCGGATTGGCGGGGAGACGGGGGGGAGGGTGGCACTTCTGCCTTTTTATCATTACTATTATTTTTTTTTTGGAGGCAGGTAATGGGGAGTAGCATATCAAGATCTGATATTCCCCCTTTCATGAAAGCCCCGGATCTCCTTGTAGGATTACTCGTCTCCATTTTGTGGCACCATCTGAAGTGACTTCATTGCATTCCCTGCCAGCATGTCCCCCCCCTCCCTCTGCACCCCTCGGAGGCTCCAGCTAGCACCGTTTATCTTGGCACGTGCTTGACTCACTACACTCTGCCCAGGACTCAGGGAGGTGGTGGGGTTTTGCGGGTTTGAGACTAATTTATGTTCCTGTTAAAATGAACCAGCAGCAGCCTCATTTTTTCCAGAGATTGTTTCTTCCCTATCCCTTCCCCCTTCCATAACCCTTTGCTTGCCAAGCCCCATGCCAGACTCAGAGGCAGTCCTGTGCTTTCAGAAGTTGCTTGCCCAGTGTCTGTTGTGTTTTGTTTTGTTTTGTGAAAACCAATGCAGAGTTCCTTAAATGGAGATCTTATTTAAGTCTGAGTAGTGTTCTGACTCATTAAAGGCCTCTCTCTGTCTCCATCTCATTCATCTGCTTCAATCTCTCTCTGTCTCTTGACCCACCCTTATTGGAATGATCAGATAAAATGGATCTTTGTCTATACCCTCCAGTGGGATTAACACAGGTGATGCGGGTTGGGTGAGGTGGGGACAGGAGGCCCTGGAATGAAGGCTGTCTTGCATTGCCTAGAAATAAACAATGCTTTCTATTATACAAAACTGTCCTCCTTTGTCTGAACTGTCAGTAAATGAAAATTCAATCCCAGGATGGCTTCTCCCCCTTACAATATGTGTTGGGAATCCCCTTTCCTTTAGAGGGGCTATATGCTGCTGGATGCTGTTCCCCCCCCCCTTTTATAGCGCCCCTCTTCTCTTCCTGGATGATAAGGAGGCTCCCCATTATAAACACCCAACTTCTTCAGGTGCTTCCTTTCCTATACAGGGATACCTACATCAGTGGTTTTCAACCTGTGGTCCGTGGACCCCTGGGGATCTGCAGCTTCTCTAAAGGGTCCGCGCAAGATGACTGTGATCAGTCGAAAGTATGCGAATACCCACACTTACAATTCAAAGGGACCTACCTGCACTTCCATTCTAAATTTTTTAGTGGTCCACAAATGAAGCAAGGTTGAAAACCGCTGACCTAAAGCATTTGCTTGGTTTTTGCAATACGGTGGCATCTCCATTTCTTCCCCCCCCCCCCCCCCCCACCCCCTCCCACATCCCCCCCCCCCCCCAATCCCCTGCAAGCTCCCCTCTATTTGCTGTTTGGTTTAGGGTCCCTTTCACCATGTGCACAGTCTGTTTGAAAAGCGTTGTACTTTTCTTGACTCTAGGGCTTACATTCATTTGGTTTTCTTTTCATTCTGAAAAGGGTGCCTATTTAAATATTCATTGTGTCTATGCCTGTAGCATTTCCTTGTTTTTTGCTCATTTTTCTTGGTTTTGGCATGGGA